GAGATTTGTTTGGAATCTTAATTATTATCTTTTGTGTCATAATAATTCTAAATAATTTATCAGTTTCTCATGAAGGTGGAAATATACGTCAGCTTTGAATCATAACTTGCGTAAGTGCTTCATATATAGACCACTTCATTGTCGTTCAAAAGGCTTTCATTTATGGTCGGAAATTAGACAAAATATATCCAAAAGAATATTTAAATCGATGCAGCAACATCAGTTTATTTCTTAATTACAACACATACACCAAACAAAAACATGATACGCGCGAAGCAATTTTATTAAAGATAGTTCTACTAAATTAACAATCTCTTAATTCGTCTTTCTTTAGCTACTTGGTTGCAAAGCTGGCTCATGTTCAAGTGACTTCGTGAACTGCAAAAACACATAACAATCTGTTCTTAGTAATACATAAAAACACTGAAATTGCATTGTGACTGTGTTAACAACAATCTTACAAACTTTTTGTTTACCTGAGAGATCTTAAGCTCAAGCTCGTTCCATTCCGAGGATGGATTGCTTCCTGAAACTATTCCTGTTCCTGCATAGATCAATGCTCCAAGACCCTAGGAACACACAAACCAAAAACGCTAAAGATAGATGCAAAGGCTTAATAATAAGTCACCAGTTTGCTACGTTTGAGGGAAAAACTTACTTTTTCGACTAAAGCAGATCGTATGCCAACAGAAAATTCACTCTCTCCACCACCAAAAAACCCAACAGGTCCAGCATACATTCCTCTATCAAATGACTCTGGAAAAAGAAAAGTAGAATATGAATCAAATCTCAGTATAAGCATATCTATTAGTAGATAAATTCTTTTTCCGAAAAGACTTGGGTGTTAGAAAACTAAAAAGCAGAAGAATCAAGGCATATATTATACCAATCTGCTTAATCAAAAGCCTTGCTTCCTCTACTGGGCATCCACAAACAGCTGGCGTTGGATGCAAAGCACTTAAGATGTCAAACTGAAAATAGACAATAACATATTTTTGAGGTAAGAGAAATTTTGTAGCTTTCTTCTCTCAATACTACCAATATGTAACTATAAAGAGATGTGACAGATTTGAGTTAGATAATCATGAGATGTTAAAATCATGAAAAACCAAACCTCGTCATCTTCTCTTCTTAGCTGTCCTGCCAACTGAGAGTATAGATGTTGTATTCTTGCAAGCTTTCTCACTGATTTCTGAGGTTTAACAATTACTCTGTCACAAATGGCCTGCAAAGCAGAATAGAGGCAATAATTTTAGAAGATTATATGAAAATATTCTAGATAAACAAGTTTTTACTATTCCATAGGGCCATAGATCATGGACACTAAGATTTTGCTAAAGATAGCTAGTTGTTATATGAAACAAGTGCCACTATATTGCCAAAATAATGCAAACTAAAGGCATGACTATACACTTCTACCGGAAGCCGGGAATTTCGGTTGAGGAGCAATAAGATTGAACTTACCTTTAGTTTTTCTCTTATATTCTCTCTCACAATAGAGAATTCAAGATCATCTTTGGGACTGAAAATATATTTGCAAACAATCTCAGTACGCATATTTGGAAGTGTCTAAAACAATGTATCCCATAAGTAGTGTTCAAAGCACAAATAAAAGAAGAAAAAAATGACCTGGTTAGTAAGTCACGCTCTATCTCCATATCACTAACTCCTGAATCGCCTCTAGGCCTAGTTGCAGCCAAAGCCTCACTGCATACACCTAGATGTTTTCTATGGAAGAGTCTCTCAGGCTGGTCCACAAAGATGAATATCAGAACCAACACTTGATTTCACATAGCAACCAAACAACAAATTACTAATTATAACAAAGTAGACTTAAGTAAACCTACCGTGTTCCCTATAAATGCTGGTGCACCTGGTGGTTGAAGACAGAATTGGTACGCGTCTTGTCCTTCACACTGTCACATCAATAACTAGACTCAGATTTTAACACTTTAGAAATTGATACAACCCGGAGAATTGATTAGACTAAAGAACGTGGGAGGAAGGAAAGATACCTGCAACCGTGCTAACCAAGCGATAGGATCAATATCGGTTTCCGTAATGATTCTGCTGCGGCGTGCAAGCACAACCTGATTCCCAAACCCAAAACCATCATGTCAGTAAAACCTATAACAAATGTATAAATCGAAACAAAGAAATGGTTCTCTATGTAAGTACCTTGCTTAAGGGTGAATTTTTTTCCTTTATAATCTCCAGAGCATTATTTACAGCAGGGTAATAGGCTCCTTCACTAGGAACATGGTTCTTGCTAACAACATTAACTCCTAGAGATTCTCTCCGTAATCTCAATATAACAGAAGAAACCTGATATAGCCAAATATATTATACAAAGTTAATCATCTTAAGAC